CGCCATCTAGCTCGCTTGGCAAATCCAGATATTGGCTCGGTGTTGGTGAGCTTATACAGATCGTTGTTTGTGATGATTTTCGGATAAAGGATGCCAAGCATGTGATGAAGCTGCTTTCGATGGCTCTTGTCGAGGGAGTCTTCCAGTGCCTTTGACAAGCCTGCGCAGCCAATGATGTACGTAAGAATCGGGAGGACGTATGCGTTGTACAGCCTCATCATGGTGTTAGTTGTTAGGTGCTGTCGCCGGAGCCAAATCTCTTTCATGCGCCCAAATGCCGCTGCGGAAAGGCTAATTCGCAGTGCTACATCATAGCATGATGCATACAAGGAGCCAAGTGTCTTCACCATTCTCCAAGGCTACTGTCCTCGAATAACGGACTGGTGTGTTACTGCTGACTGTGCCGTTGGTTCTAGGTATATTCTGTTCCATTCTGCTTTTGTAACGTTAACTTTTAGATCCTATGTGTTGAAGGTGCTCTCCGCAAGCAACAGAAGCTGGTCAAGATAGGCTTTGGACGTTTAAATAAAGTCTACGTCATCAGCATAAGCTGTTTCTGCCGATAGGTTTTCATCTGCAGCTGGTCTCGGTGGTAGGACTGAACGAAGGTCACGTAGAGCGACTTCGAGGTAAACTGTAAATAGGACCGGCGAAAGGCCATCTCCTTGAGGAATGCCTTTCGTAGTTGGAAAGGCTGATTCCGCCCTGACCTCAAGAGTGGTGTTTGATATGAGGTACCGAATGATGCGTAGCTCATCATCGATTACAATCTGTTAGCTGCTCAGCACACTCAGTAGCTTGTTTCTGTTCACAGTTTAAAATGCTTTACTGAAATCAAGACCACGAACATGAATTTCAGTGTCAAATCTTTCCACAAGAGACGAAAGCCACCTCTTGCACCAGACTACGTCCGCCGTTGACCTGTTGCAGCGAAAGCCAGGCTGTCCTTGTGCAGAAATTTCTCCACTCCTGGTCGGATTCTATTCAAGATGATAGTTACTTTATCGCCATCATAATATTGGGCACCATTGCCCGTTTGGTCTGCGATACAAAATAAAATTTCGACAACAACAACATAAGAGAGAGGCTCTTCGTGAGTGAGGTTAGCAAAATGATCGGACGGAGGTTAGCAGGAGGACCTTTTGGTTTGCCAGATTTCTGCAGCGGGATGAGGGTGCCTTCGCCGACTTTGATTCTTCGATGATTTTCAAATACGTTTTTGAGCATTGCTGATATGAGATTGGCTATTGTTGGTCCGATGTACTTTAGAAGCTCTCCTGGTAGCTCATGAGGACCACATGCACGTCCATTCTTTAGGCATTTTAGAATGCGAGTGACTTCGGCCTGGGTAATGGGATTGTTAAGAGATCGCGGGATGCCTTCAAAGGCATCAATCATCATGTTGCTAGCCGGCCCTAGTTGCTCCTGAAAGTGCTTGGCTACTATTTTGGCTTTGCCTTCATTGTTATATATCTGCTTGCCATCCATACCGTCAACAACAAGTTCACTCCCAGTGTTGGATTGGAGCTGTTTCACTGCTGCAAACATCTGCATAGTATCCTTGAGGTCTTCAATTTGCTTCACCTTTTTGTCCAGATGTTCTGATGCCAGCTGATGTGTTATCTTCTTTATTTGTTTTTGAATTCTATTTCGTTCCTGCTGCAGTTGCTTACGGCTTAAGATATCCTGCACACTGTTGATGTCCATCCAAATTTTTTCTGTTGCTTTGACAGTGCCTCCACCTCGCCAGTTGCATATGGCAGTCTGGACTTCGGTTTGTTGCCGAGTACAGTCCCGGCAACACCCCGCAGAGCATTATTCAGGGAGTTAATGTTGAGGTTTGGCCCCGATCCACAGCAGAGCTCAGTTGCTGCTTCCCCCATTTTCATTCCAAACCTGCCTCTTGTTTCACTGCGGGAAAACTCGACAAGATTTAGGGGTTTGGCTGATGAATGTTGACCATGGGCTTTCCATACGCAAGGCAGTAGTTTTCGTGAGAAACGGCATGAGACAAGGCGATGATCCGATGATGTCTCAATTCCAGCATAACTTCTGGCATCCTGCAGCAATGACTTAGTGTTGTGTTTACACAGGATAAAGTCTATTTGATTATAGATCGGGGTTCCACGAGGTGTCCTGCCTTCCCAAGTCGTGAGGTGACGGTTGGGATGTTGAAAACACGTGTTGGCAAATACAAATACATTCATGTCAGCAAACTGCACAAGCGCGTCTCCCTTCTTGTTACGCAGCCCCTTCACATGACTGCCAATGCAAGCCTCTCCGTTTCTGCGCGGTCCGACTTTGGCATCGAAGTCGCCAAGTACCAACACAAGCGCGCTCCTCCGGAGGCCGTTGACGACATTCGTAAGTGTGTCTTTAATTTTCTCCAGCTCATCGGGATCCTTCTTGGTGATGGATGGCGTTGGGCCGTACGCATTGACCACGCTGAGCAGTAGCCAACGATCCGCGGTCCCGTACGGTACATGAAATTGAGCGGCAGCAATGCGCTCCGTGGTTCCGACCGGCCATGCGCTGTGCAGGGAATTCGCAAGCAATGGCCCGACAAGAAACCCCAGCCCTCGAGCTCGTGTCTCCGGTGTAAACGTCAGTAGCCGGTATCTCCCATTTCGCTCCTTCAAGTTCTCCAGTAACTTTCTTTCCTGCAAAGCAAGTAAGTCTAGATTGAATTTTTCAGCGTCGCGAACAAGCGCTCGCCGCTTCTCAACTGAGGAAAGTCCTCGCGCGTTGAGGGTTCCAAATCTTCATTCTCGTTCCGCCATTCAAAAATAACAACAATAATACACAGTGTGTGCCACACCATTGAAAGACAAAGCCAATGCTCCTCAGTGCTCAAAGAGCTTGAAGAGCGAAAAAACTTCAAGTTGTCAGCTCGAGACTCAAAAAATAGTCATGGTGATGATTTTCCGCGCCGAATTTCTGACGCTGCATTTATGTCCCATGCGCGTCAACAGTACTTCGCACTTTCCTTTTCCCGCGGTGTGACCTCAGGCTTCCCAGTTTCGTACGTTAAAACGCTATAATTATAATAGCAGCTTGATCCTATAATAATTATAATTTAATTATTCAACATCCACCCTCACTGATGAGCTGTGTATTTGTGAAACAGCTGTCTGAAGAAGTTATCGATATCGTCTAGAGAAGTGTCGTCGCGGTGGTGATGATTGTATGCAGGAGGATCTAGTCGGCTGAGAACGCAATGCAATGGTAGAGGTGACTCAATATAGTCCAAACAACCATTTAATAATCCTTTCATGATGCGCTTCAAGTTTTGTGGACAAATTTGAAATTACACCACACCATGCTGTGTGGCCGTAGTCGAACAGGCGCAAAACATAACAATGGTGGATAGGGGGGGGCGTGGGAAAGGCGGGAAGTGAGTGCTATAAGGACGGAGCTAGTGTAGCGGGCCTCGAGGCAAAACAACCTAACAACTCGAAACAAACTTTATTAACAATTCTCTCTCTCTCTCTCTAGAACGGCAAAACTGCCTCTAGCAGTAAAACTCTAAACTCATTGTGAAAGATGAAATAAACGCAATTTATGGAAATAATCACAACCAGCAACGTACTGTCATGCGACCGTTGTATGGTAGAACGAATGTTGTATTGAACAGTACGCTGAGCGTATACGCAAATGCTGAGCTTGTAGCGTGACCAACGCGTGACCAACGCTACACTAGTGCGACGACGAACATCATGAACGTGCTCTGCAGTGTGTACTCATGACCTCGTATTTCATGTTTGCTAGTTTCTGCTTCATTTTATGGTAGGTACTACAGGCACAACCAGTGGTAGGTGCTGTAAGATTTGTTCACTTCGTTGTATGTGAACTTAAGACATTGCATAGATACCCTACTATTTACATGTATGGGTTAAAACATTTGTGACGTGCCCCTCAATTCCTCTTTTGATTATGAAGCTGGGCGATGCCTCACCTTTATTACGTACTTCACCCGATCTATGGCGCAAAATGCCCAAAAAATAATTATCGCAAGCGCACATCTATCACATCACAATGCTCTTACATTAGCGCTGTAATAGACCATCACCAACGTCTTGTTCCCTTTTCAAGGATGGAAGAACATCGTTCAGGATTAAAATTGCCATCACCAAAGCAACATGAAGACAAGAAATTATTCAAAAGTATATTCGAACAGTTTCCCTAGCCCTAACGATTAACCGCGTATTCCTTCGAAATGTTTAAATCAGTAATTTTCTATCATCTACTGCAAATATGGCAAACGAAATCCGGATCGCATTCCAAAAGCAGCGCCAAGCCTCATGCGATCCCTGACGCCCTTGGATCTGTGTTTGTAACCTGTATGATTCAATGATGACGAGACCTTACTTTGACTCGTGGGCGGATTTGCTTAGTCTCGTGTTGGCATTTTCACTTACAAAGCTGGAGAACGCGGTGTTTTTGTTCACTTTGACGAGGAAAAGCAGAATTGGCCATTTGTAACTCTAAACAAGTAGCTTCTCCTATCACCACAGATATTATCGTTGTAAAAACGTTCGTGAAAATTACAGCATTCCAGAGCGATAGGAGCGGTTCCCCAGTTGGATACTGTCCGGAAAAAGAATTCACGAAAACAAATAATTTTTGTTCCAACCCAACTCCTCCCTCCCTCCCTTTCAGAACCTTTAAAAAGTGTTGACGAATACATGTAGATGGTCAATGTATATACAAGAAATGTCGCAAGTCTATCACTACTCTTAAGGCCATGTACATGTAAGATCGTATCAATATTTTCTGAAACGGAATTGGTCATTCCCTCCTATCCCATAACGAAAGTATTTGGTTTCGTCAAAATGTTGGATATTGATTTTATCGACGACTCATGAGCATGCATTCGCAAAACACGTTCAAATTTCGCTCAACAATTACACTAATTTTTAGGGCTTTGGTGCATAGAATAAGGGACTAATTTTTATTCGTTCACGTTTACTCCCTCCCATTCTCTTTTTCTACCTTTCCAGGTGATGGAGGCATAGGAACAGGCGTTATAATACTGATTGGCGGGATTGGTGGCTTGTTGGTGGCTGCACTGATAGTAGCTGTGTTAGTTTTGATAATACGTCCCGAAAAGCCAAGTCAACCAGCAGAGACCATGCCCAATCTTACGGAAAATGCAGCATATGGAGACGCCGGCTTTGCAGAAAGTGTCCTCACCAAAAGTGATGCTTATGGAGTAGTTCAACCAGCCGAGGATCCACATTACTCGTATGTGGATGTTCACCAATAGTTGTTCAATCCCTGCATTTCTTGTGGATACATCCGTGGTCAATAGTATTGCCTTCTCGATACATACGTATGTACACTGTATATCATGTGCACATTCACATATCTGAAGGTTTGTGGTTTTTCAATAATAAATAAATAAAATAAAAAATATAATAGTTAACTGTGTCGTTTGTATCTTCATAATAATCCATTTTCAAAAATATGCAGGTTCAGCCGTTTGACACTAGTCGTCAGAAAGCCCCACTGTGACCATGGCTAAGAGTATCGGCCACATTCCTTGTTTCAGAACATGTCGTGTTTAATAGTACTTTATTACTAACCTGTTATTTTGTCTAGAGTATTTGTTCTGAATCAGGAATGTGCATGATTTAAGTGAGAAAATACTGAAGTCTGCACTGTATGTATTAGCTGTCCAGAAATGCCTTTTTGTTCTTTAATGTTTGCTTATACGCATGCTATTGGAGCGTGTCTGATTGCAGTGTGAGTATACCGCTCTTGAAGTGCACAATATAATCACGACCATTGCCGACCCCAGCAGAATGTGATGTTGCACTTTCAAGCCCAATTCGCGTAGGACGGAGCGACAACTCACGGTAAATTTGCCGAAAGGTACATGTACAAAGGTACAGATCTGAAAGAAGTAACATACCCGAACTGACTATGAGGACACATCGGCCAAGGTAGTGCAATCTTCAGACTAGGAAGTGACCAGTGGCTTTCCGAGTCAATTTAAGGAGTGAGCTACTTCTCATTCAATTTTACAAATCTTTATTTTTGGTTTTCCTAGGATCATCGATATCGAGTTCATTGATACTAAGTTCAATTAGGTTAAACAAGTTTGTTGTCCCAACTCAATACACAGGGAGCAGGGAGTGGTGCTTGCTTGCAGGCTTGCTGAGTGGAAGCTACGACGCGCTCAGCGTGTGCTCGGGATGGCAGTCAAGAGCCAGTCAAGTTCGGAAGAAAGCGTGTGTTCCTCGCGGGAGCAACCAAATTCATGACTAATAGAGAGAATTTAAAAGATGCACGTTAGTTCTGTGTTTCTTCTCTTTTTTAACATTTATTACTGGCTCAGTATCCGAGTTTAAATAAGAGGACGGGAAAGTGTTTTAAAACATTTTTCCGTCCTCGTATTGTTTGAACTAGCTCTGCCTCTCGGTATTGAGCACTTTCCTGAGCAACCTGGAACCTCTCTGGTTTATAAGACACTTATGCATGGACATGTGTATCCACACGCTGAAGGTTCTGGTGGGGCTACGAAGGTTTGCAACGAAAAAAAGGCTGAGCAAGTTATTGTCAGGTTGGTTTGCTTCAATTGATGTTCCAATCAATGAAACCCAGTATGGTCATGTGATTGGCCAATGCAAGCCTGACGAAACACCTCCTCGTTGAGGTGACATTTGGCAGCATAGTAGTCCAGCAAATGGCACGTCGGATATTCTAATCTTCCCAAACCTTGCAGTACTGGGCCAAGCTCGCCAACAAACATCTGACCAATGGCATACATGTTTGGAAGAAACTGGTAGCTTCTTAGATGTTGCCTTTATTTTACTTAACCATAGGTACAGGCATTGCCGCTTTCTTGCTGTGAATCATAAATGATGCCACAGCTCCTAGGCTATGATTAGATTCGCCTGATAGTTTTGTGCCAGGATAATATTATTATATCACATGATAGGCCATTCCTTGCAGCTCACCAGCATGGCCCTTCGCATGCTTTCACCAATTGGCATTGATGCGATGCTGACGGGCTTCTTTGTCCTAGCTTCTCTCCTTTCCTGTATCATGGCGTGAAAATACAGGATGGGTAAATGGAAAAATGCGCTGAGCAAACTGAATTTTCTCAAAAAGCTCTGGCCACGTGGCCAGTCCCATAGGCTCGATCCAGGGCGATAACAGCCTTGAAGGCACAACGTGCAATGCTGTGTATCTACAAGGCTCCGGCGGATTATGCTCGCGAAATCATGGAATTATGCTTTCATGGATTCTCGCATTATGCTCGTAAAATCCTCATTTTAGGGAGGTTTCGCTCTACGGAATTACGTATGAAAATAACGTAGGAACTGCACGGAATTTTCATACGTAAAAATCAGAGCGATTGGGTTTCGCTCTACGTGATATCTCCACGACTGCTAAACATACCGTGTTGCTTTGGAGACGCGTTGGCTGCATGCGCCCGCCGCATGCACCATGAACCGAAACCGCGTTTCCCTTTTTATTTTGCACGTTGGTGTACGGTATGCGTACCTTGTGTTTCGCGCGGCTTGAACGTTGCCATGGACAAATGCGGAAAATGCGAAAAAATATTTCAAAAAGTCCTACGGAGGACCCAACGTAGGAAACAGCTTTCCTACGGAAATTCGTAGAGAGATTTACGTATGAAAGTTGCCCTCGCTCTCCGGCGCGTACGAAATACGGATTTTCATACGTAATTACGTAGACCGAAACCTCCCTATTATGCTTTGGCACCCGGGGATATTATATTCACTTTGTTGTACTTATGGAGCCTCAAAGTTCGGAAAATTGTGCTTTTTTCGTACTTGCAAGTTGCAAGTGGCCATAAGTACAACAAAATACATGAGTATCCCCATACCAAGCTGCAAAGTGTCCATGCATGTTAGAGATCAACATGGAAAAGAGAAAACATCAGTTCTTCTATTCATCACTTGATTTGTTTTGTAAAGTAAAAAGTAAGTAAATTATCGTGTCCGTCCCGAAGGGAACTCACGACGATTTCTTTTGTACTTCAGTACTTTTGAAGTAAAAGTATTATTTCATTGCCAAATTAGTTTGCCGTTGAAATCATGTTCAACTCACGGTCTCCATAGCCTGCAGTCATATCATGACTGCTAAAATCCAGACTCTCATGACTTCGTAACATGCATAATGTACAAATGTAATGTACATGTACATGTACACGGAGTTTTGCGGACTACCCGCCACTATCTCGTCCGCTACGGGATACCTAATGAAGGCTGATTCACTCGCATCTTCTGCTACATGTACTGTATCAGTGTGAGAAGAACTTTGAAGAAGACGAGTTCGAGCATACAATACCGTGACTGTATTGCCATGATTTCTACCCTGCTTTTCATTGAAAACACTATCTACATGACCTCCGAACACTTTACCATACAGACCACCAGCACTGATCAGGTGCATTGTACACAATTGTATAGCCTACATACTAGAATTGTGGTATAATCGTGTAGTTATGCTCCTACCTCCGAGAGGATGCCAAATTATGCTCCAAATTTTCAACCACCAAATTATGCCAATAATTATGCCGGCATAATTCGCCAGTGCCTAGTACCTACAGAATGACTGAAGACGAGGGAAGCTATAGTGTATATTTAAATGTCTACAATAAACAGGTACATGTACGCGTGTGTCACACCGGTGCTCAGGTATGATATCAAGTAGGCAATAAAGTGAATAAACCCATTCTAAATATTGTACTCGGATACTGAACCAATCATGCAATGAAAAGTACAGTGCTGGCAACTGAAATCCGACCCCTGATCAGCTGAGCGGTGCGCTCAGCTGATCAGGGGTCGGATTTCAGTTGCCAGCACTGTACATGGGAACACATGAGTACGAGTTATGAAGCAAATGAAGTAACTGTCCACCAATGCAACAGTAACACGATACACGTCTACGGTCATGTAAGACCGAAGCGCGAAGAGTGCAATTAGATAGTAGCAACTGGTTCTTCACAATTCGCGAAAATTGCCTTCGTATTTATCTATGATATTTCCGATCCACCGAAGAATCTCAGCCAACAACACGTTTCATTGACCACAGGTACGCCACCGACATGAGGGTCAAAAGTGTGGATGAAGATCCAAAACCTATGCAAAGCGCCAGTTATTCACGGCGAGAAAATCCAATGTTCCCCTACTCCTCTCCTAAATGCACTCGACAGACTATGGTTAGTTAAAAATCTAGGGCAGAAAAGCGAGATTTTGGGGTAGGTGTGAAGCTGACATGATGGAGAGGGATACAGGGCCATTGTATTATTGAAAGGTCTAATGGCGCCGCTCACGATTCTATAGCTAATCTCCAGATTTACAGAAAAACAGTTCCACACGTAATTGCTGCTCTACAGTTATTCATAAGAACTATACTCTCCCAAACCCAAAAGAATAGGGCTTGAAGCTTCTATTTAACAGTAGGCCTAAAGGCATAACCAATGCTGGCTTTTGGATCTACATGAACCGTTACTGTTACGTGGATGCATGCATGTTCTTGTCATTCGTATTTTGTTGACCCAAACGCCAGACAGATTGGCTGGACCTGGTCTTCCTGGTCCTGGAAACACTACAGTAACAGAAAGACATCACACGTGCGTGCAACACCAACACAATGGTCTTACCCACCACGCACAACAATGAGCAATGCGCGGCCAGCGTGTCCCAGCAATTGTAATCTGTCTGTGTGTCTGTGTGTCTAATCTTCCACCAAAATTAATTTCAAGTCATAGAAATGACAATAGGACCTCAGTGGACATATATTAGAACTCTCATGGTACACGTCCTTTGAGCTCTGCACGCCATACGCACACTGCAATCAAATTCAGGATAAATACTGAAGATTATGAATCCTAATTTAAGGTATAAAGAGTACAATCTCACTTACTGATCCTAGCTGTGTAATGAAATAATTATAAACTTTTTGCTCTCGCAAATCAAATACCTCATCAACATATCTCTCAATGAAAACAGAAAGCCTAACAGAAAATCTTTATCTCCTCTAAATTTAGTGAAAATGATATCCAGCCCCAATAACATGTGCCAAGGTAATGAAGGAAAAACGAAAAGATAGGCCGCCATCGGACATGAAATATAGCTATCATGATGTACATAATAATGTTAATACACATCTTTTTAGTTCTGGACATAATAACCATACTGCAATGAATTTTGGATGTACATCCAAGATAACTAAGCCTAGCTGTGTAATAAAATAGAAACTTTCTGTTCTCGCAAATGAAATACCTTACCAACATATCTCTCAATGAAAACAGAAAGCCTAACAGAAATCCTTAATCTCCTCTAAATTAATCGAAGGGTTACACCGCACAGAGAGGCATGTATTCCGGTTTTCATTAATGACAGTCTCCAGTCCCTATAACATTATACGTAGGTAAGTAAACAAGAACCAAAAATATTTACAAAAATCTCAAATAGCTTTCTTAAATGTCCTTGCTTGCCATAAATAGAAATGAAGCAAACCAGGACATGCAGGGATAAAACAGCACCTAATATAGCGATTGGATATGAACGTGAGAAAAATTTCTCGGATGAACAAATTTAAAGCAAACATCTGCATGTGTTTTACATCTACTTTTAGCAATAGATTGCGTGATTCTCGAGGATTGTATGAAGAGAGAAGGGCTGCTGTCCACATAAACTAAGAAATGGTCAGCACAAAATGTAGTTACGCTGATAGTTGGAAAATGCATGCGTAGGAAAAATAGCGTACAAACCAGGTGTACATCTTACATACTAAGTTGGTTCCATTCTTCATGCAAC